ACAAGTACTTCTTATTTATAACTCTTGTAAATCTCATTGTCTGGTTTGACAGATTTTGCTACCAGCACACATTAAAACAGTGGGTGATGTTTTTTCATTTTGGATGCTGTAAAATTTTGTATATGCTTAGATATATCTAGAAGGAGATATTCTGTGGGATGTTTACCTGTTGAAGTTGATAACAATTCTTTTGAAGGTTTCTTTTCCCTAAATAAGCACTCTTTTACTTGATAGACACAATTTGAATTCAAGATTATGAACTTTAAAGAGCCTTGGTCAAGGGAGACCTCTAGTGGGTCGTCTAGTTCATCCCCTTAATAGCCACTGAATTGATCTGTAAACTGTCCCTGTTGAAATTGTGTTAGTGTAATCACAAAATGTACAGAGAATAATTGTTTTGTACATTTCTTTACAGGAGCTAAAAGAAAGTGGTGAACTGTTGCCTATTCTGAAGGGAGAAAATTAATGTCAACGGACAGCAATGGGAACTGAAGTACTTTGAACAATTACTCATTTATAGATTATATTGGAGCAATATACAACTTAGCCCTGTGGAACTGATCAGAAGTAAATAAAGGCTTCTTATGTACTCTGTATTTCACAAGACCATGTTACATGTGAACATGTATTTCCATTGAAGATAAAAAAAGTCAAGTTCTTCAATTAAAATACAATGCTGAAGAAGTTTGGGGTTTTTATTTGTATTTCTATGTATTCATTGCATCCAGCTGTTCAAGAGTCAAGTAATGTGTTGCACTACTGTATAGGACTAAATTGCATCTTTCTGGGGCCCAGCTATCATTAGGAGAATATTAATGGGAATACCTCTGTGGTATGGAGTGTAATAACTTTCTGTCCCTGCTAATATTTATTTTAATGTCTCATGAGTGAGAAAATGCTGTTGAAACCTTAATCCAGTGCACCATTAGGAAGTTGTTATTAATGAGTTTCAGCTGTATACTGTGCATCTTCATTATTTAAGCAGGTACAGTAATTGTTAATTTCAGATATTAGTCCAATTTTAATGTAGCTCTTTGGACATGTTTAAATTTTAGTGGAAATGAGCCAATAAATGCAATGATTAGGCCAGTCTTCTGATGTATTCGGTGTTACTTCATTTAGAAGGAAAGGTGTACTTTCTGGGCTACAACTTCTTTAGTTGTATGTTAATATAGAAATCCTTTTTTCTGGATTTTTTTTATTTATCTTTGTTTCAGTACTGGTAATACTAAGAAATATAATGAGCTCTAACAATAGGCTGACCATCAAACCAGCTACAGCACAGGTATACTTCTAAGAGTGTCCTGGATGTTTTACCTCTGGGGAAAAATAAAGCAAAGCAGCTTCAAAAATCAGAATACAGCACAGTCCGTGTTTTCTGCAGTGCTGACGGGGAGGGTATTTCTCTTCAAGGGAAGCACCTCTTGCTTTCAGTCTGAGTTCCTAGCCTCTGCGCTGAGATTATTGAGCTGTTTATTGCAGAGGATGGTTTTGTCAGTGAAATACTGAAATACTTTTGGTGAGTTACACAGAGACCACTGTGTGTGACAGCGATATCAGCTGCTACAGATTTCCAGCTGCAAAATGCTGGTATAAACTGTTCTGAGTGCATCGGCCATATACAATAAAGACAAGGACACCATATTCTTAGAGAGGTCTGGAACCTGAAGAGGAGCAGGCGCTGTTTACAAAACCCAGCAAATGAAATGCTGGCGAGCAGAGAAGTGCCCAAACCTCCCCAGTAGTAAATTCTGAGCAGAGAGGTATTGCTGAAAGCCTATTGCTCACTGTTGTGTTGACTGTGCTTGCAGAGAAACACCTGTATGCTCAGATCTGCGGCCAAAAATGTTTCTGGAAAGTTGCTCCCTTGTTAGGAGGGGTCAGGACTGAATGCGTGCTGTACAAAACGTTCCTGATGGATTAGGTGATGTGAGGTTTTAGGCAGCAGCCGAGGAAGAAGGTTTTGGAAACAAGTTTGGGCTTTGTTGCTTAAATTCCATTTAAATCTAGTGGAACTGGAACCTGAAGCAAGACTTTTTGAATGTAGTCCCAAACTACTGAAAAAGTTGTGTTACATAATTATTAGAATGATCTGTATTTAATTCAAGCATTAACTTTGTAGGAATAATTTTAGTCACTATTTTGAAAGTATATCTTACAACTTTAAACCTATTTTAATATCTATTAGAAGCAGGGCAAGATTTTTTTTTCTTTTGAGAACAGGCTTTAATCAGTGTCTCAAAGTGAATTGCAAATGCATCCAGGCTGTTGTCAGTAATTACAACCTACTTTATTTAAAAACAAACAAACCCCCAAAACCTTAATAAGTAACATCCTTAGGGTCAAATTAGGAGTTAGAAGCTTCAACTAAAATGAGACTAAACACAGAAATGAGACTAAATTTCTCATGTAATAGCTTTTTTTCTTTTAAAAAGCCTTTTCCTTGAAAATTCTAGTGGAATTTAACTTCCCAGGATTTATACAGTCCTCACAATACATTTAGACATGTGAAAGACCAGCAGTGAACAGCAGTTGTTTTTCTTAAGCAACAATACGCTTTTCTTAAGCGTATTTTAAGCAACACTTGAAATACGTGGTACCATTTTTTTTTTTTAATCAGAATTCATTGTAAAGTAACTCAATTTAAGTCAAAATGTCACGCTGTTCAGACAAAGCCAGACTTTCTGGAAATAAGCACTTTTAAAAGTGCTTTTCCCAAGGAGCACTTTTCTCAGTGGCTGTCCTGCCTGTGCCTGGATGCAGTGCCCGGGGGGTGCCCGTGCATCACTGAAGAGCCCGGCTTGGGCAGGGCTGCTCCAGATCAGGGTGTTAAATGTGGCAACTGGAGTATCAGCCTCCTGTGGCTTTATGGTATGAGTGAAGCATCATCACATCGGAATTTTGTGCTGGTGCAGTTAAAAAGCATTAGAAAGTGACAGTATTTTTGCACTGCTGTGTTGTGGTTATACCCCTGCAGCTGGGCAATTTAAGACTTTGTACCGAGCATGCATGTGGGCTTTCCTGCAGCTGAAATTTTGGGTAGGATCTGCTCGTTTCTCAGCTTTCCTGGCTCAGGGAGGGATGTGTGGGTGGAGGCTGCCTCTCGGTGGTGGGAAGGTGTACGGCGTGCTCATGTGCCGGGCTCTGGGAGAGCAGCAAAACTGCACCAAGTGTTCATTATGCATATCCCATTACATATCCTACAGTGGGTGTGCAGTTTGTCTGCACTCACCGTGAGATGGGGATGAGGTATTTAGCACTGAGGACTGCAGCAGTTTGAGGGTGAAGCAGTGCCAGTGAGAGTTCCCTGGTAGGTGCCTGAAACCGCTTAAGGTGTTGGTTCCTATTGCAGGTTTATGCACTCCTGTGAATACATTGCCTTCTGCAAATACATTTCTTGGTACTTAAAGTCGGCCTTTTGGGTCCTTTGACCTCCTAATGGAAAAGTACCGACTGAGCTCTTTGGCTGTTTTTCTGTAAATGGGGCTGAATTAGGCAGTGCAGTTCAGGGGGCACTCCCAGGCTTCTGGAGGTGGCCGGAGTGAGGCACGGGGTCACTGAGCTGGGAGACACCAAGGAAAAATGCATGTTTTGCACAGAAGTGGTAGAAAAATAGTGTCGGAGCTACAGTCCTCCAGGTCGACTGAGGTAAGTGAGGTCTTGTACTTTTCGTGGTTGCCAAAGAGGCGTGTTTTTATTTATTTATTTAATTATTTACTGGTGGAAAAGTATTTGTTATCCATGTTTGGTGCAGTGATTAACATCACCTAGCTTATATTCTGCTTATTTTCTCTTTCTCCCTTTTCTTTCCCTTGCTTGTCCAAAGATTGCTGCTAGATTCTTGTTTTCCTACACTTCCCTTCTAGGGTATAAGGAGAAAAGAAAACAACAAAAACAAAAAATTAGAATGGTCAAATGAGTTTGGGTTGCCTTGAGAGGTTGGGGCTCTTCAGAGGTGTTCAGGACTCAACTAGACAATCCCCCAAGCAACCTGATCTAATTTGACAGAGGGTCAGGCTAGATGACCTGCGGGGTCTGTTCCAACCTAAATTAGTCTGGTTTTAATGATAGAGCAGTGGAGTGCTAGTGAATAGTGAAGAGTGTTAGAGAACAGAGTGCAGAACGGGGCTTCTCTTGCCCTGAGTGCCAGCTCTGAGTCCTGCTGCATGGCATTAACTGTCTGCAACAAGGCTGGTAACCAGAAAGCTCCTTTCCCATCACTTCTGTGCTTCAATAAGAAATACTTTGAAAATGCTATGATTTTTTTTTTTTTTTTTAAGGTAAGTGCCATATAGCTGAAGTAGGTAATGCAATATCGTTTTTAAATTAAAACTTAATCTGGAACTACGTGAATGTTGGTTAAAGGCTTCAGACAGCCCAAGGAGAAATGCGATGCAGTTAACATTTTTAATTGGGGGAGCATTTCATTTAAAGTAATCACAAAGATACAGTATCTCATAGTACTGAGGCAGAAGTGGAGGAAAACTTTTTTTTTTTTTTAAGCTTAGAAAATAAGCTTTCTTAAACCTTAGAGCTTCTTAAAGCTTTTTTTTTTTTTTTTTTTTTTTCTTCTTTTTTTCTTCTCTCTCTCTCTCTTTTTTTTCTTTTGTAGTTCCGGGCAGCTGATTCAGTTGAGACTACCGAGTTATGCAGAGAGCAATCAGTGAGCACAGGGTTACCAAGCCTGCAAGCCTGCTTTCAGCCCATTTCTGACCAGGACTTCCCTTGTTTCCTTGGTGTGGCTGTAGCCTGCTCTGCTGCAGCACGAGCAAGGAGAGTAATGACTTTTACCCAGCTTTGCTTAGAGGAAAGAACTGTCTGCCCGTTCTCCTGGCAATATTCATCTGCTCTGTCCTGTGCATGGTCAGGCTGAGTGGAGTCCCTTTCCAAGCCAGAGAAGTGCTGCCAAGTGTGACACAGAGGGCGAGGAGGCAGGAGCTGGTACAGCCCTTACCGCTTCCTTCCCATCCCCAGTTACCTGCGGGTGGGTCCTCCTGCCGCGTGTCTCTCAGCTGTAGCTCCTTTTCTCCTTCAGATGCAAAGGATCAGAGAACAGGCAGCAACAGCTGCTGCTGGTAGCACCAAGGACACTTGGTGACACCTGTGGTGCTGCTGACAAGGGAGTTAAGTGCTGTGCTCGCCCTCCCACAGGGAAGGCAGGAGTTGAGGATGGTGGTGGTGGCTGCTGTCCTCTCGCAGTGTGGCTGTGAGCTGTGTGTGTCGGGGGAGTGCTTCCCCCACTATACAGGAACCACTCATGCCTGTGGTCACACTGGCACTTCTACCGACCCTACTGCACATGTACTGAGTGTTTAAAACCCCACAGAAAGCGTGCAGGCAGGGCCACACCTGGTGCGAGCCAGAGGTGAAGGTGGCTGTGGCGCTGCTGATCTGAGAGTAGGACGTGGGTCGTGGTTCATCAGAGCAGGTAAGTGGCTGGTTTTGCTTCATGGTCTCTTAAAATGCCTCTCCCATTGAGCCGTTTCCCATCTTATTTCCTATCTTAAATTGAGATCTGTTTAAGCTTTGACCCTCCTTAGAAGATGTGAAGGCACGGGGCAGGATGGCTCACAGACTGTCTCAGCCTCCTGTAAAGGTGCAGAGGGAGGCGCCGCTTGAGTTGATGTGGTGAAAGGCTGCAGGCTGACCGTGTCGTAGTGCTTGGGGCCTCCTGTGTGAAAGAATGCATTTCCAACACTTCTCCCATGTCCTGCATGAACACTGAGCAAGGCAAGGCAGCAGTGGGGCTGGTGAACAGTCAACTCCAAAACCGCTCAGGTGGGCTCAGAGCTCCAGGCCTGCCTTGTGGTGGCACAGGTGCCCTGGACCTGAGTGACTTGGGAGGCAGAGCTGCGTGTCCTGTGCTGCAGCAGGCTCAGATCAGGGTGTTTGGGGGGCTGCAGATGCTGCAGTTGGCCCATCAGTGCCTTTGCCCTGGTCTCATCCCAGCCACTGCCGTAGCCATGAGATCCATCTTCAGGAAAACAACAGAAAACAACGGGGCAGCGGTGTGCAGCTGGGGGCAGGCGTGATGGAATTGGAGGGGTTGGAGCTGGGGGTCTGTGCTGAGCCCCTGGGGAGGGGTCCCAAGAGCCTGGGTGAGTGGTGGGAGCAGCCCCACAGCTGGGGGGATGGCTCGAAACCCTGTGGTGCCAGGGCCCCTCCTGGAGGAGGGAGAGGCACGCAATGTGGTCTTCCAACCTGGGAAAACTCACGTGAAATTAAAAGTCCAAACACCAGTGCTGCATGTGAGTCAGGACAGTAGGGTATGGTCCTCAGCTGGCTTGGTTCGTAAACGCTTATTTTTATAATCCCTCATTCGTTAGGAGGTGCTGTGCCATGTTTTACCTGTGATGTGACTTTTTGTACCAGGTTCAAGGTACAAAAAATCCATCTTTAGTCATCTCTGGATGGAGAGCTGTGATCCTCAACACCCCCACGACCACTGGGCAAGCAGGGAACTCCTCATACATGGCAGGGAAGTCCAGTTGTTTTGCTAGGACAACTGAAAGCCCTGTGTCAATTACTTCTCCCAGCTCTTTTCCCGTTTAATTTTTTTCCCCTGGATTACACACGTTTAACGCTAGATGGAGCCTTCTGTGCGCTGGAGGAACTGGGGAGAGTGAAGAGTTCAGAGAAACATCCTTCGCTTAGAGCAGTGTCTTGTGAAATGTGTTAATGGAAGTATCGCTGGCAATAAGGGTGTTGTTTAACGAGAAAAACACAGTGGGAGATTCCTTTTTACACCAACAGAAAGCAAAAATTCTGTGGTGCTTCCTTTTATGTGAGAAATGCATCAGATCTCAGAATTAGAATGGTTATAGGTTATTCAAGGTTACGTACACATCAATTTTAAAATACTTCTTGAAGTATGCAGAGAGGAAGGGCAGTGTCTGTGGCTTTCAGAAAACGTGCCTGCATATAGATGCACGTAGAATTGTTTCTGTCCTACAGATGTCTGTGGCTTTCCCTGACTGCTTCTGCAGCTCTCCTTAGAAAAATTATTCAAAATATGCTGAGTTGTTTGATGTTTCCTTAATAAGCTGCTTATTATGTTGCACTACAGCCTTGGTGTTGGTTGTGTAGCTGCTGATCTTTCTAGATGACGCAACGGTGATGATGCTTGTGTTGGGAAGCTCTTCGATATTATTCTTACAGAAGCTGGGTGGTGTCAGCATTCTGCGCACATCCACAGCCTCTGAAAGCAACCAAGAAAGTAGATTACAGAAGACGAGTTTCCAAGAAGACAAAATTGCAACATCATTATGAAATGAACCGTATCGTCTTAATTCTCTGCAAGTTTTAGGCTGCATACAAACAACGGGTGCATCTTGCTGACATCAAGAACAGTTATAGGATATTGAGACAATGCAAATATAAAACATTTTAGGCAAATTACATGTTTGCACTGAGAATGTTAACTGAGAGAAATTCTGGTAGAAAACTCCCCGACGGACGAAGGTTGCCATGCAAAGGATACATCCTCTGAACCAGATGATTGCCAACAATTTTCAAACCCCACAGGAAGGGATCTTTGATGGGTTAATGGCCTAGTTCTGCAAATATTTATGCATAGGGCTTTAATTTTATGCTCAGCTGAATAGTTCCCAATGAATTTACCAGAATCACTTCATGATAGCCTCTTAAGTGGAGGAAAAAAAAAAGATAATTAAAACATGCATACTTCTACATGTATGGACATAATTTTTTTTGATTCTTCCATTTAAGCAAATAAATGCGTAAATGTTTTTTTACTTAGAAAAAGAAAAAAAATAAAGGTCTATAATTTACATTCTTCTCAACCATTGTTTGCTTTGCTCTACCTTCATATGCTTTTGCACTGTGCAAGACACTGGTTTATTGCAGTAAGGGATGTAACAGCAGAGGTTGCCATTGACTTTGCAATCAGTCTATAAAATGGGCTGCGAGTCTCTTCAGCGAGAGCTAGCACACTGACTGCTCCCCCTGCTCAGCAACCCACCGAGAGACTCCGTAAGGCTTTGGGTTGAGGGATTCCATCTAGCAAAGTAATGAAAAACTTGAAAATAATGACAAAATAACCCACAGCATGTTTTGTCTTCGAAGTTAAACTCATTGCCAACAGCGTGTTAAATTTCCAAATGAATTTCCTTAAGTAATTCAGAACAATCTTATTACTCCTAAACCACCTGAACTGGCCTGTGCCTTCCTGAGTTTGTCTTGTATAAGTCATCGGATATGCAGGCTGCTTTGACTAAGTAGCTTTCCCTTTGTTTCCAGGTGAACATGACTTGCACGTGCTGCTCAGAGTTTCAGTGCCCTTTTAAAAGATTATCGCAGCCAATTGAAGAAGTAACCTGTCAAAGCTGACGTTCATCCCCTCTCCCCTAAATCTCTCTCTTCCTAATTCAGCTGTGCTGAGTAGCAAGGTAGAGAGGTATTAGTGGAACCAGTCCATAAAGTTCACTCTATTTTTGTATTAAAAAGTTACCTGTGATTGTGGTAGCGATAGGGGATGTGCTCATAATGAAAATATTGCTGTCTAGATCTTGATACTGATAATACCCCAAGGCATTGGCAAACAAGTAATTGTGGAGCTGATATTTGGCTGCTCTCACCAGGGCCTGCAGGGAAAGTGGTTTTAAGCCATTTGCAAGCTACAGATTGGGAGTCCCTTGGGGCATCTGAATGTGTCATTTTGGGGTCTTTGCTCAATCCCTTGTCCTGGGGCTGGGTGTGGGCAGTTCTGAGGCTGGCTGTCATTTACAGTGACTTTAGGGCGCAGGGATGGGTTGCGGGGATGAGTAACCCAGGTGGAGCACTATGGAAATGCAGTGGGATTACTGCAGGGATGAAGCACAAATCTCACTGTTTTGACTCCCTGTAGCCTGTACTGGGTTATTGGCAGCCTGCTCGGTCACCTCTGCAAAGCTCTGAATTGTGCAAGCTGCACAGCCTGCAACTCCTGCGTGTGTTTGGGTACACGACTCCTTTCTGTAGGCACCTAACAAGGCCAGCAACATTTTCTTCCTCGTATGTCTGCTGAAGCATGAAGCATTTTTGATGGAGAGTACATAAGTGTTTTGGAGAGATCAATCATCCTGTAGGTAACTAGGCATTGGTCATGTACATGCATAGTTTTGCTATACTTTTTTCTTAGGAATGAGTGTTACTGAGGATGATCTGACCTCCTCTGTCCCCAGTACCTAAGAGGCTTTTACTGCAAACTACCTCCCTGGGTGTGCACCCGTTCCTGTGTGAATTCCCAGGGGATTCAGGGAATTCCTCGGTGGCACTGATTTCTTGCACTTCTTTTCTTCTTCTCTTACGTGTTCACAACTACCTGGAAATCCCAGGCACTCTCAGGCATCTCTGCCCTATTTTCCCTGTGCTGGGCTCAGGGACCGGAGCACAGCTGGCTTGGTGTGCGCTGGCTGCTGTCCCTTCTGTGTCTGCCCAGCTTCCCCTGCTTGCAGTTGACCTAAAACAATTTTGTCAGGTGCTCTCACTGCCTTGCTATTCACCACTTCTTGCAGGCTGTTAATGAATATATTGAAAAACACCAGCCCGAAGACTGATCCCTAGGGCACTACACTATTAACCTTTCTCCATGCTGAGAATTGGCCATTTATTTCCATTCTCTTTCCTATCTCTTAACTTGCTTTAATCCATGACAAGACTTGATCGTTCACCCGGCGGTAACCGTGTTTCCTTTGCAGCCTCCAGGTAGGTAGGAACTTTATCAAATGCCTTTGGAGGCATTTTGGAACAAATCAGCCTTCCCAGTCGTCCTTTGCATGATGTCTCCTTTGTCCTGAGAGAGGCTCCCGGTAAGCAGAGGAGGTGCAGGTCTCGGGGTGTTGTTGGGGAATGCCGCGGTCTGAATGTGCCAGCAAGGTGCCGCTTTTACAGTGCTGAGGGGGGGACGAAGTCAGCTTCTCACTTCTTGTCTTCCCGAATGTCCATATTTAATGTATCTCGGGGCTTTCATGGGCTGCGACACGTTGTGTGGCTTCTGCCCAGCCAGGGGATTTGAGCTGTGTTCTCTTCTTGCCCGGGTTAACTGCTCTCCTGACTTTTTCCACAGACTTCCCTATTTTTGCATGCGGTGCCAGCTTGTGTTCTTTGCCCAGGGTTGTTGCTTAGCTCTGATATCAGTACAAAGTTTTTTTTCTTACCACACTAAGCATGCGGAGGAACCGAAGAAATTATATATGTCAATTGGTTCATATCTCCTGTGGTTAAAAATACGTGGGTTTTACTGGAAATGTGGGTTGGCTGTATTGGAGCAACAATGGATATGGGGACTCCTTGCAAGAAAACTGAAGATGAGTGAAGTGACTTGGCATAACGCAGAGAAACAAGGACCTCTGCTCCCTGCTAGAGAGCTCTGGAGATGGAAACACAGAAAGCCGCCTTCTGTGATGGTGCAGGGACAAGGAAAGAGGA